AGTACGAAATCTAACATAATTAAAACGAAATATCTAAAAGCTAACAATTTTGTAATTTTATAGTAAATTTTTTCTATTCTGTTTTTTTTTATTTTCTTTCACTATTCCTTGTTTTCTATTTTAAATGTCTCAAAAAAAAATTCTTTTTATTTTAGAAGACAAATGCATAAAACAAAAATAATATAGACAAAGAGTATTTTAGTTTCTTCATTCCATATATATTTTATTTTAAATAGAAACAATATTGATTTTTAAAATAATTATAAAGAACAATTTCAAATAAAATAAAAAAAAGGACGAAGAATAAGATATACATTATTAAAATAATTTTTTGTAGAAAATTAAAAAAACGATCCCGGTAAAAAATTAGTTTTCCCTCACTGACAAAAGTAAATCTTAGTTTAAAAGTAAAAAATAATCACTTAAAAACATATACAGGTAAAATATTTGAAATATCATAATTATACTCCCTCCGTCCTCATTTTGATTACAATCTTTTTCTCTATCTCTTCTCGATATTTTTTTTATTTACACGATTTTATAAAGTATTTGAGAAAATAAAATATTCTTGTCACCTCTTATTTTGTAAAATTTTTGACGTAGTTTTTTAATGTGTAATTTTTATTTCTTATTGATATACCAATTTCTAAATAAAATGATTTCAAAAAGTGAGAATTTTTTCCTCGTAAACCTCATTTTGTAATCAAATTAGAGACGAAAAGAGTATTATGTTATGATATATTTTATATTTTATTTTTCTACTTTAAAAATATTTTTTTTTATTTGAATACTTGTTTGAAATTAAATTTATTTATTTTTTTGTTGTCAAAGGCTTTAAAAAAATCATGAGTGTCACCCCTGAATCTCACCATACTCTTTAATGTGAATTTGTCCCCAGTCATATTCTTTTCAGGATCTGCCAGTGTGTCTATGCAGCGGTGTTGATATAAAGATTATTATAAAAATACATTTTCAAAATAGAGAGAGTATTGGTTCCTAGTTTTTCCAATCCATGAGAGACTAAAATTATTACTCTATTTGTCTTTTTTTATTTATTCTTGCTTTTAATGAAAAAAATCTAGTTAACAATTTTAATACGGAGTAAATTAAAGGAGACAAGGTCAATATGCGATTTTTGATAATTAAAATGACGTGGAAGGTATTATTAGATGACATGGTCATATGTCCACAGTAATTTAATGGAGAGGCATTCATGCCCTCTCATTTGCTAGGGCATTGGAGAAAAACCCTTATTATTATTATTTTAAATTCCATACTTTTTAATTGTTTCACTTGATACGATTTTTTCAAAAAATAAATGTAATTTCTCGTGAAAAAAATATAAGAAGCAAGAAAATGAAACATTTGTGTCATTATAATCTAGGTAAAGAAAAATAAAATGATATTAAGCACAATTTCTTTCTTAAAAATGAAAACTTTAATAAAATGATATGATGGGATACTTTAATAAAAATACTCTCTTCTGTATATTGATTATCTAAGTATAATTGTTTTTTAATGTATATATGTTAAAAATTTATTGTAATGTGTGTATGAACTAATCATTAAAATACTAAATTAATACCTTTATTGCATAAAAAAATCATAAAATAAAAAATATTATGACATTATAATAGGAATGATTATTCTAATATATGAATTAACTAATTTTATTTCATTAAAAAATAATCATAAAATAAAAAATATTGATTATATTATAATATGAATTATCATTACAATTTTCAAAAGTTATTATAAAGTCAGATCAAATTATTGATTTAAATTTTAAATCAAATCATAATTAATCAAATCAGATCATATCAGATCCATTCAAATTAGATCAGATCAGATTTAATCGTATCAAACTAGACCACATTAAATCCAATCAGATTAGATTAGATGAGAACAAAAAAAATTTGATCAGATCAGATCAGAAATACAAAAAATCAAATCTGATCAGAAAAATAAGTTAAACGGAACATGGCCTTAATCTTACTAGTTACTATAGTGTCATCTATATGCACGCAAGCCCTCTATATATTACACTATAATGTCATCTCTATGCAGGCAAGCCGTCTATATATTAGATTAGTATTTTAATTTGTGTACAAGGTGGGATGAAATTGTTTCTGACTCTACAATGTAAATTATTAAAGTGTCTTGACTTTTGTTTAGGGCATATAATTTAAATGTCAAATATAAATGATCTAGGTTTACTAAATTTTTTAAAAATTTACAATTCTTTTGCCTATATAAATTTTTAAAAAAATCAATATAAAGTTATCTTATAATTCTTTCCCCCCTCATTAGTTTTGAAACATTTGAGTTACTGATCTTATGATTCTACGATTAAAAAAACATGATTCTTCTCCCCCACGTTAATTTAGATTAGCGAAAAAATGATTCCTCCACCACATTGATTACAAAAATTGTTCTTTTCTTTTGCCTTATAAAAAAATAAATTTTGTATTAGCAACTATATGATTCTATGATTGAAAATATTAGTTTAAAACAATTAAAATACAATGATCCTTTCCCCTCGTATTAATTTAAAAATATAAATATAAAAAATGATTAGTGCTCCGATGATTCTGAAGGGAAAGGGAGAAAGCTAAGATTAGTACATAGTATATGAGTAAAACATAGGAAATAAATTAAAATAGAACATTCATTTTTTTTGTCTCCAATATAAGAATGCCAATAGTACCAACATATAATATCAATAACAGAAATGCATATATGTAGTTCTTCAGTTTTACATTGTAATAGTACTATTTGGGGTATCTCAGTTTTATTTTGGTTGAGTAGTTCTTGAAGGAAAATTTACAAGAATACCTGACTATTTTTATTCTATTTTTAAAAAATATTTTTAATGCAAAAGCACTCAAACTTCTGATAGCATTCTAGTCAATACAAAATATTTATCAAAATACAAATATTTATAAATTGGAAATTGTATTTCTTTTTGATGTGGTTGTACTCAAGTCTCCATCTTATATGTTTTTTGCACCTTGCATCTTGTTCGCACCTTGTCACATATCTTCCCACGCTCCCCTCCACACTATGATTTTTCTTATCATAATCTTCTTTACATTAATTTCTATGTACGATTGCGTAAATGAAAAGGTAGGAAGTGCTCTCATTCAAATTTTCTTAAATTATTTTCATGCACAGAAATAATGAATTATTACACAAATAAATTTGTAAATTTTAAGTTACAACCTGGTAAAAATGATAAGTTACTGTATAGACTTCTTTTGATGAAAATAGTAAGTTAAAATGTTAAATTGCCAAGATAAAATACAAACGTCATATAAAATCTTTTTTCTAATTTATTTGATTTAAATATTTGATCATTTACAAAAATAGTCAAGTCAATGTTTTTGCTCTTGCTATATTTTGAACTTGGGTGAGCTTACCAAAGGAGAATCTCATAGAAATATGATACACTATCTTTGGTGGAAATAACTAAAATTACATAAAGCAAGAAGACTGGAAAAAATTTACTAAAATTACATAATGAAAAATTACCAAATCATTGGGTTAAAATTACTAAAATTGCTTGACTGGATAAATTATACAAAGTATTTAAACTTGGGTTTTTATAACGTGTGAACTCCATAATTAGCTTTAATTATGGAAACAATATACAAAGTAGATTTTTATTAAGGCAAAGAGTCAATTATCAACTCATATTCCATACATTACATGGCATGTTGACGTGTCAAAAAATTGCAATTCAAAACATATTATCCACTTGTCAAATTATCATGAAGTGAGTCTCAAATGTTATAATAAAGGATTAAAGTATTTTGCGTTCTTTAATTTTCGTTTCAATAAAAGTAGTTTCCAATGTTGAAAGCTATTTTTCTGCTTGTCACGAGTTTTTAATTTCTTAAAATCGGTCCTCATAAAAAATATTGGGTGAAAGTTTAATATAAAAGTAAAGCATAAAAAAGAATCAAAATAAGATATTTATGATTTTATTCTTCTAATAATTACACCATATAATATCAAATAACATTGTGAAATGCTAAATTGTTATCATATTATTACAATGTAATAGTCTTATATGCTTGTATTTTGGAGATAAGTACTATGGTTTGTTTCCGTTTTAATGATTTTCTTAAAAAAATGGGTAAAAAGTAAAAACACAAAGTACACATGTAAAGAGAAATCAAATACTCCCTCCGTCCCATAAAGTGTTACCCATTTTGACTAAAGTTGAAATTAAGGGATGGATAATTTTGTGTTGACTTTTCAAAAATACCCTTGATGTAATGGGTAAAAGTAGGATGTGATGTGTAGATTATTAGGAAAAAAGTATGATGTGATAGGTAGGGTTTGAAAAAGTAAGGGGTAAAAGTGGTTTTTCAATAGAAATGGGTAAGGGATTGTGGGACACAATTTTTTTGAAACGTGTAAATCTTTTTGGGACGGAGGGAGTACTTGAATTAAAAATACAAAATTTTCTTTAATAAAGGTTAAGTTGCACTCAATTTAGAAAATTCTATGAATAGTCTTTCAAGCCACATTAGTGTTACAGGGTTGGTCAATCATTTAACTTTGCCGTTAGTCATGCCTTTTTTCTATTTTCATTATAAATACATGTAAGAAATTATTTCTTTTTCACACAATTGAGTTAAAAACTTAAAAAAAAATTAAATTATAGGATTATTATGCCCAATTGAATAGAAAGTACATTATTTTGCATAACTCTTGCTCTTTTTGTTCCTGAGTATTTATTCACTTTTGATTTTTTTTTCACTTAAAATTAGTAAATTTTAACCTCAAATTAAATAAAAATGATACTGCATATTGATACAAAATTAGTTTTATTAGAGTTATTGTGTAAAAAAATTTTCAATATACTGTTATATTATCTAATTAATATACAATATATATTTTATTTAATGATATTTCAAAAATTGAAAATAATTAACTAAAAAAAGTCAATTTTAGACAAGGTAGTATTTAAGTTAATATTGAAAAGGTGTCAAGGAGTATTATCACATTGCATAATTTCCCCGGAGAAAGACTTGAAACTTCCCAGAATCATAGTCTACCCTGTCCATCTCTTCCAGCAGGAATCTCAATCAATCCTCCCAACAAATTAAATCCGCAAAAAAGAAAAGAAGAAGAAGAAGAAGAAAGAATGTCTCAGCCACTCCAACTCTGTTGCATTCAAGACGGCCGCCTAACACCGTGGAAACACGTCACTATCTTCCCAAATCATAAACTCATCACAAACGTCGTCGTCGTGAAGGGTTTCCTGGCGATATGTCTGGTGGCTTCAGTCTCTCTCTTCTCCTTCTCCGCCTTCTCCAGATGGACTTCCACCGCCGAGTACTCCACTAGCGGCGTACGACGGCTGGAATCCGAGGATCCGAACAACGCCACCCGCATTTCCCACATTCTCTTCGGCATCAGCGGGTCCCTCAAGACGTGGGGCACCCGCCGACGCTACTGCGAGGCCTGGTGGAAGCCAGAAGCCGCCATACGTGGCTTCGTCTGGCTCGACCGGGCCCCGCAGAAGTGGCCGGAGAGCTCCCCTCCGTACCGCGTCTCCGCGAACACGTCCGGGCTCCGGTACACGTGCTGGTACGGGTCGCGGGCCGCGGTTCGAATCGCGCGGGTCGTGAAGGAGAGCTTCGAGCTCGGGGAGGAGAACGTGCGGTGGTTCGTGATGGGGGACGACGACACCGTGTTCTTCCCGGAGAACGTGGCGGCGGTGCTGTCGAAGTACGACCACAACCAGATGTACTACGTGGGGAGCGTGTCGGAGAGCGTGGAGCAGGACGAGGTGCACTCGTACACGATGGCGTACGGCGGCGCTGGCTTCGCTGTCAGCTACCCGCTAGCGGCGGCGCTGGTGGAGATATTGGACGGCTGCATTGACCGGTACTCGTCGGCGTATGGATCCGACCAGAAGATCGGCGGGTGTATGAATGAGATTGGTGTTCCACTCACCAGAGAACCCGGCTTCCATCAGGTGAGTAATTGACGGAGGTCGCATATACTTCCTCGTTGACTTTTTTTATATCTAACTCTATCAAATTTAACCATAAATGGTGAAAAAATTATTTTTCTGTAAAAATTTAATTAAATTTAATGTAATTAGATTAATTTTAAGTGGTACTTCTCATTAAAAACTTTTATACTCCGTAATACAAAGTACTGACTATCTCAAATAATATCAACTTTTAGCGATTTTCTAAAAATAATCTCAGTTTTTCTTGTGATGTGCAATAAGCTAACCTTTGATGGGGTGTGCGAGTTTGCTTATTTTGCGTAATTAATTAAAAAGATAAGAATATTTCAAATGAATTTTCTTTAGAAAGCCCAGTCTTAAAGATTAATAGTCATGTTCACATACGTTTAATTTACAATGTCATTAGGTTGAAAAAGTAGAAACAAATACTACATTTTAAAAAATTTAAAACTAGCACTCAAAATAAATTAGAATAGTAAGACAAGTTGTAAAAAAAATCAAAATTATGAAAAATTTAAAATTTTTTACAAAACTAATAAGCTTGACTTATGTTTTAATTCTATTCAGTGCAAATTTCACTTTAAAATAATCAACAATTGTGCTGCTTTGGGGAATTATGTTCACAATTTTGGAATGAGTGATGAGTTTTGTTTGTTTGAAATGAATGGAAGTTGGACATACGAGGAAACGCGTACGGATTGCTAGCGGCACACCCGGTGGCACCATTGGTGTCACTGCACCACCTAGACTACGTAGCCCCATTGTTCCCACACGCTAGCCGGGAACAATCGGTGAAGAAGCTATTGGAAGCCTACAACGTCGACCCGGCCCGAACACTGCAACAAAGTTTCTGTTACGACCTCAAGAGAAAATGGACGGTTTCGATTTCGTGGGGCTACACAGTTCAGCTCTACCCAGCAGCCACATTCTCCAAGGCCGCCAAGGAACTGGTGACGCCGTTACAGACTTTCCTAACATGGAAGACATGGAGCCAGGGCCCCTTCACCTTCAACACCCGGACCTTGAGCCTGGACTCGTGCAAGAGGCCCATTGTTTATTACTTGGATCGCGTACTTTACGCCCCGGGAGATGGCTTGGCCGTGAGTACCTATAACAAGTCCGTTGACTACAGAAAGCAATGCAGGAAACAGGAATATGTTTCTGCCTCGTCCGTTCAATCTTTCCACGTCTCCGCTCCACTTCTGCATCCACATATATGGAAAAAGGTACATATATACTCTCCAATCCAAGATATTTCTCATTTGGTTATTGAATTGCTATATTTGACTTAGACCCGATCACGGGCCCGGGTATCGCAAAAGCCCGCCCGCAAAATAGTGGGCTTGGGTTTGACATTTTAGGGTACGGGCCGGGTTTGGGCCTTATAAATGGAGGCCCGAATATTTTAGGGCCGGGCTCGGGTTTATGCTCAAGCCCACGGGCCGGCTCGGCCCGAATAAATTAAATATTTATATTTAATATAATTATAATAAAATAACAATAACAACATTATATTAATAATAATAACAATAATAATAAAGAACAAACCTATTTTAAATCATTATAAACACCCATACATACTTCTATGGAGAGAAAAAATAAACTATAAATATTTATAATAAAATGAATGCATCTTTAGTACTCCGTATTGTTTGCAACGTATCACACATTGATTATGACATTCCAATAGATAATATTTTGTACTCTATACATAGTAGCAATATCAAACCAAATATATTTATATATCAATTTTTCTTTCATTTACTCATAATAGTTTTTATATCAAATATCTAATATATTAACTTGTTACTTTTTTTATAAAAAAAATTAAATTATTTAGAAGTTTTTGTCGGCCGGGCCGCCCGGCCCGAAGCCCGCGGGTAACCATGCGGGCTGGGCTTGGGCTTCAATTGTTAGGCCCGGATATATGGGCCGGGCCGGGCCGGGCTCGGGCCTATAAAATTTTCGTAAAATAGTGTCTCGGCCCGGCACAAAATCAAGCTCGGCCCGCGCGAGGAGTCCTCTTCTTGTTCCTTTCATAAGCTCAATTAAAGGCTTAAGCTTAAATATGGGAATATGAAAGGTTCAAAAACCGGTGTGGGACAAGAGTATTTACTCTACCCTCGTATTCAACTTTGAGAATTAATTTCTCATTGACCCGAGCATCGTTTATGGCGTGTCATATGTCAAGACGTTCGTCTTACTTCCGAGATTAAACGTCCATAATTATTTCGAAAAATAATTTTGTGGACCCAACCGAATTAATGTCCGAAAAATGTCCAATTTACTTAAAATTTCCAACATATATTTAATATAAATAGTAAAGTATTGATTCATGGTGTACACATGCATGAGATGTTCTTCACACCGCAACCCGTATAGGCACGCACATTAGGCATGGTGACATCCACACAACGGCCCATAGGGAATTGATGTTTATGTATCTTTGCCATTCTTGGTTTTAGATTCCTTCTTACTTATTTCATTTAAAAAAATGACACACTTTACTATTTAAAAATTATAAGAACTCTCTATTTCTTTGTATGCTTTTATTGATTATTCGATAAAATAAATATTTTTTCATCTCTTATCATATAAAACTCTTGATTTAATTTTAAATATATAATTTTTTTATTTTTATACTAATCTTAAATATATAATTTTAAATATATAATTTTTTTTATTTTAAATATTTTTTCATCTGTTGTTATATAAAACTCTTGATGTAATTTTTTAATTTTTATTTCTATACTAATCTATGGCGACGCATATTTACTAATAAGGTTAAAGAAAAAAAGCATTTTAATTAATTTGCAGGCTCCACGTCGGCAATGTTGTGAGGTGATCAACAATGGAGATGAAGTGATGCATGATGCGGTACACGTAAATATCAGAGAATGTTATAAAGGGGAATCAATGACTCCCCCAGAATAGGTTAGAGAACTAACTATAAATATAATTGGAAGTCCTTAACGGAACTTGACAACATTTTGTTAGTAGATTAGAGCATATATTAATGAAAATAAAAGTTGTCATCAAATTCAATATCCACCTGTTTATTTACTAGCTTCTCGCTCTACTTCTCCGTGGCTCCCTCCTAGATCTGGACACAATGCAGTTTTGGTTTTGAAACCGGCAATTCTGGTACTGCCACCCGTCACCGGTGGCCAGCAGTAACAATGTCAGTTTTGGAATCAATCGGTCCAGTTTAAGTTCGAGAACCTCTGTTTTTAGATTTTTATTTAAAGATTTATATACAACAAAAATATTTGTCTAAATATAGTTTTTATTTGTAGAATAATAAATATTGAATAGTACATAAGTCACCCGTCACAACTACGTTTAATGTCCTGACGATTCAAAAAAAACATTAAGGTAAAGAATAGTAAGAACCACTCAAAAGAGCTTTTAAATCAATCACCTAAAATAAACTAATTTACATTTATAAAAAAAACAATGTTAAGTAAGTCACTCATTTGAATTTCCACTCCCCTGTTGGAAATTAGGGGGAGAATAACGCTTCAAAGCAACGTTAGAAAATCAATATATGAAGAATGTGAAGAACGACTTGCTAGATTTAAAAAATCACGTATACATTTTTTTCGGAGTGTACCAAAATATTTCAATTGGATTAGACGTAAGTAATCTAGAACGAGTACGAAAATTCCGGTGTCTCCAAACATACCTTGATGGGCCTTCGATTTATAGGAAACTTTCGAAAGGATCTGTTGGTTGATGAAACAAAACAAATTTCGTGTGACATACAAATATTAGTATTAACACTTTCAAATGTTTATGGCGTTTAAAAAACAAATGATCATTTCTACAGTTTGTGCGAACCGTTGCAACTTATCGTGAAACATTCAAACACTCCAATGCATCAGACAATTTTACAAAGGACGCTAGGGATAAACATTACATTCAAATATATTGTTTTATACATTTGAATATACCTTAATTTGAACTCTGTTTACAAAAACTTAAAGAATTTTCATAAAACAACTATAACACCTCAATTCGCGTAACCCAATTAAGATGAGCTAACGTACCGAAATGTTAGTAATTGGTAAAGTAACAACCATGATTTAAAGAAAACACATTTTTATTAATAATATAAATCCTGTGAAATAGGATCATCACAATATCCAAATCATTTTTAAAATAACGAAGTGATAAATAAAAATAGTGCAGAAGCAAATAAAAGTTTAAACGATTACATATTAGGGTTCAAGCCCCTAATTTATTCAATTTATTAAAAACATAATAAACGATGAAAGTCCACACCGTGTTGTCACCTCTTCCATCTAATTGTGCACCGAGATCATGCCATTTTCATCTTATTTCTTTTTAGCGACGCACAGTCACACAACAAAGGAAACTCTACGCTCAGCGAAATCGATAAGTGGTACCACAACGTAGATTTTATATAATAATCCAGAATATAGATTCACAAAGTAAAACCATTATTTAACAAAAAATCCATTTCCATTTTTATCAAGTAAGACTAAAAGTCTATTATATCTCCTTAATTTTAATCCATTATTTCCTCGCCTTCACCTAGAGTCATTCCCCGTCGAGAACAACTCAATAAGACATCCCCTGTCTAAGTCTAGGTCCGAGTGCCCTTCTCTTCAGGTTCAGAATTTATTCTGTGGTCTTTCCCAGTATGGGTATAAATACTCTTCTGGTTCCAAAGACACGGGTTTAGTGATCCCCAGTTGTATGACCAGTTCTAGGACCTTATGAACGTACATACTCAACACCTAAGATCGCCCATACCCAAACAAAGCTTTATGTTGATGATATGCTTATTGTTGGTCATAATTCTTCGAGAATTGCAGAGTTGAAAATAGAGCTTAGTAAGTCCTTTGTGATGAAGGACTTGGGACTAGCAAAATAGATTCTTGGCATGCAGATTACACGTGACAGAGAGGCAAGAAAGTTATGGTTGTCTCAAGAGAAGTACATTGAAAAGGTGCTTCACCGATTTCATATGGAAAAAGCTAAAGTGGTTAGCACGCCTCTTGCTACACACTTTAAACTTAGCTCTAGACAATCCCCATCTAATGATGCTGAGAAGGCAGAGATGCGACATATTCCTTATGCATCTGCAGTAGGAAGTTTGATGTATGCAATGGTTTGCACAAGGCTAGATCTAGTGCATGCAGTTGGTACGTATAGTTAGTCGCTTCCTTTCTAATCCAGGCAAGGAGCATTGGAATGTAGTGAAGTGGATTATGAGATATCTTCGAGGCACATCCAGTTTGAAACTTTGTTTTGGAACTGGAAAATCTGTTTTGAATATTTACACTGATTCTGATATGGCTGGAGATATTGATACTAGGAAGTCTACATCTAGTTAGTTGGTTACCTTTGCAGGGGGAGCCGTTTCATGGCAATTTAAGCTTCAGAAATGTGTTTTGTTGTCCACAACAGAGGCCGAGTTCATTGCAGCTATAGAAGCTTGTAAAGAGCTGCTTTGGATGAAGGAATATCTTCATGAACTTGGCGTTATTCAGAAGTGGTATGTCTTATATTGTAACAGTCAGAGTGATATACATCTTAGCAACAATCCTACTTTCCATGGCAAATCTAAACATGCATATTGATGTACGTTATTATTGGATTCGAGATGTGCTTGATCTCAAGTTATTGGAGTTTCACATACATGATAATGGCTCTGATATGATGGCTAAGATTTTGCCAAAGGGGAAGTTTGAAACTTGTTGTTTGATTGCCGGTTTGGCAACCACCTCAACATAGTCGGGAGGGGGGAGATTTGTTGGGTTTGGGCTCCCAACTATTTGTTTTAAAAGCCCATTTGGAGTGTAATACTCAAACCCAATTTTTAGTCCACTTTTGATGGCACATTAAAGGTCTTAATTAATTATAGAGGGCACAGCTGGTTGGATTGACATTCATGCTCAAAAAGAAAGGAGAAAAACAACCACAAGAGAGAAGGATTTCCGCTGCCTTTTTCTTCAAACCACAGGTGGATATATCGAATTTCAACGGTTCAATTTCAAGTTATGAGCTTCGCACCAGCTACAGTTTTTTTGGTGATTTCTTGCACTTTTGTTCCTCTATTTTGATTCTAGTGCCTTCGTAGTGTTGTTAAGGGCTATATATCATATCATTATGGTGCTCTTATTTTGTGCATTTCTACTCTCAATTTGGTGGTAGTGGAGTTGGTTGGACCGAAGGGTCTCGTGGTTTTTTAGTCTTTCACATTGAAAGGTTTTCTACGTTAAAATCTCGTGCCTCATATCATTTTATTTTTCGTGTTTGGATTATCTTGTTGCTTGGTGTTCTTTGGTGTGTTTGTTTGTTGCTCCTCAGAGATTCATTCAAGAGAGAATGCCCAAGATCAACACCTTTCCCTCTTGAATGAATCTATGAGGAGCAACAAACAAACACACCAAAGAACACCAAACAACAAGATAATCCAAACACGAAAAATAAAACGATATGAGGCACGAGTTTTCAATGTGAAAGAGTAAAAAACCACGAGACTCTTCAGTCCAACCAACTCCACTATCACCAAATTGAGAGTACAAATGCACAATAAAACGGCACTATAATGATATCTAGCCCTTAACAACACTACGAAGGCACTAGTATCAAAATAGAGGAACAAAAGTGCAAGAAATCACCAAAAAATTTGCAGCTGGTGCGAAGCTCATAATTTGAGATTGAACCGTTGGAATTCGATCTCCACCGTTCAGATTGAAGCTCCTCGAATCTTTAGACTCCTCCTAAAATTTCAGTTCAATCGGACAAGACGTGGACCTCTGATCATTTAGAAAACCAGAGCTGCGATTTTACGAAGAAAGCAGCGGCTACCTCTACTATCTAGCTGTTTTTGTGCGTGAATCCTCTTGTGTACTCCCTGGACAAGGCTACCAATTTAGCTCAAAAGTGGACTAAAAATTGGGCTTGAGTATTACACTCCAAATGGGCTTTAAAAACACATAGTTGGGAGGCCAAACCCAACAACATTACTATATTTTTTGGTAATGTAAAGATAATGTTTGCTAATATAAATAAAGTCATACTCCCTCCGTTTCTTAAAACCATTCCTCTTTCATTTTTTTTGTTTTTCTTAAAACACTTCTCCTTTCTATTCAAAAACCACTTTTACCCCTACTTTTTCATACCATACCTATCATATCATACTTTTTTCACTAACAACTAAACTATAACATCTTACTTTTACCCATCACATCAAGGACAAAATTGGAAAGTCAACTACAATTTAACACTTCCTTATTTTCCCCCAAAGTCAAAATAGGAACTCTTTTGAGAAAGGGAGGGGAGGTAGTATTTAACTCTTGCCGTCATTCATGGAATATGGAATCAGCCCTTTTCGTTCCTTTCTTTCTTTGTCCCTTCTCTTCCTCCTCTCTTCTTCCTATCTCTTGCATTCGGCAACCACACCCCTCCGGCGGGATGAGTCTGATCTGGCGGCGGTGGAGGGCTGATTTGGCCGTCGGGAAGACAGAAATCGCACCCCATAGCTACATTGATGTTTTTAGGGAGGTATTGAATAATATGATTAGGAGTCTCATCACGTGTAGCCAAAGTGGATGCAATCTCTTTTAACGCTTCAATCCTTCGGAGCTCTATCAACCCCATCCCAGCCTCCGCCGTGGCATCAGAAATCATCTTTGCAGATTCACTCTCGCCCTCAGCCCGTACGACCGCCGCCCGGCACTCCTCCTCCGCCTTCACCACCACGAACCTCGACCGCTCCGCCTCCTGCTGCGCCACCTGCTTCTGCTCCACCCCCTTGGCGAACTCCTCCCCGTACGAAAGCTCAGTTATCGAAACATCTTCCAGAACAATATTGAACCCATGCGCCAGCCGGGCCAGGCTCTCCTGAACCATGCCCGATACCCGGTGGCGCAGGGTCAGCAGCTGGTCCGCGTCGAACTGGGCCACCACCCCGTTCAAGACCTCGCTGGCGATCGACGGGAGAACCTTGGTGTCGTAGTCCGGGCCTAGGGTTTTGAGGATGGAAGGAAGTCGTGAGACGTCGGGTCGGGCGAGCACCCGGAGGGTCAGGTCCACCACCTGCTGGTCCTTGGTGGGTGTGCGGGAGGAGAAGGTGTGGGGCCTTGTGCGGATGTCCATGATCACCGCCCTCTGAACCCAGGGAAGCTTCCAGTGGTGCCCCTCCCCTGCCGTCTCCTCCATCACTCCTCGGAACCTATCGAAAATCACGGCGCGTTGCCCCCCGTCAACGGTGTACTTCGAATTGTAGAGAACCACCGCACCGACTGTGGCGCCTATGGCGGCGCGTGCAACGTTTGTACGTACGGGAACAGCTTGGTGGTTTCCCATGTTAACTTCAGAAGTTGAGATTGAAAAATCGGACGACTTTTAGGCTTTATCTAGGGTTTACAATTGTGTGCATAAGATAAAATTAAAATTCTACCTCCCTCCCATATACCTTTTTTTTCATTTTGATTTTTATTATTAATATTTTTAACTTTTAACCATAAACTATACAATTATACTCTCAATGTTTAGGGCTGTGCATTAACAGGTCCAGACCGAAACGGACTAGCCCGGAATATTCAAGTCCGATCTTTGGTCTTCAAAAATTTAGAATTTCGGGTTTTGGTCTGGTCCGGTCTAAACAAAGAATTATCCGGTTCGGACCAGTATATAATAAAATATTATTATTTTTAATAATCCAATAAATCCAATCGCAGAATGTAATAGCCCAAAGCTCACTAGTCAATTTATTAGACCATTATCCTTTCAATTTTTTTTCCAGTTCTCTTAGACTCCTAGCATGATAAGTTGCTTAATTTCAATTTTTGCTTTATGTGTTTTCTATTATTTTGTACTTTGAATTGAACTTTGGTTTGAGATTTTTTTCATGGATTTTGAAGTGTTATGAACTTATGAATTTAACAATTTCCCTCGTTTGTGAATTGTTATTGTTTTGAATTTGAGGATTGATAGTTAACGGGCCTCGGGCCCACTGCTTGTCACCGATCGTTCATTATTAAAAAATTAGGTCATTTATTTTTAAAATCCGGTCCATAATAGGGTAAACCCAGATCGGACCGAAAAATTCAGGTCCGGACTGGTATCAAACAGGTCCGGTCTTTGGTCCTTGCAAATAGAAGATTCCAGTATCAAACAGGTCCGGACTATATTCAACAAAAGTCTTTCCCCTATTATTTTTTTTCTCTTTCACTAAAATAATTTCAATTTCTATTAAAAACCAATTTTCCCTTACTTTTCTTTACCATATATAACATCATATTTTTTTACGAATAATCTATCCATCACATCTTATTTGTACCCATCACATCAAGAGCAAAAATGGATAGTGAATTACAAATATGCACTCTTTGTTTCTCCTATTAGTCAAAATAGGAACCGTTTAGATGAAGGGAGGGAGTAGAAAATGTACATTGAATTGAATTGTGATACTCCGTATAAATTTAGTGTCTATAATATTTTTTTTGAAATGTAGTTTCAAATATCATATATTTTTAATCTATGTTTATATATAAATAGAAATATAAGAATTGAATATTGTTAAAAGTCAAATGAGAAGAGAGATATGAGACGGAGGGCGTAATTACTACTATCCTCACTCTTCCATATTTAATACTCCATCGGTTCCAAATTTGATTATAATTTTATTTTCTCTCTCTTCTCGATATGTTTTGTTTATTTGTTTATTAATTATTTTCATTGAATTTTTGATAAAATAAAATACTCTTGTGACCTCTTGTTTTATAGAACTTTTGATGCAATTTTTTAATATGTAATTTTAATTATTTATTGATATACTAATTTGTAAATAAAATGATTTCAAAAGTTATGAGATTTTATCTCGTGATTTCCAATTTGTAATCAAAATTGAGACGGAGAAAATATAAGAGGAAATTATAAGAATAGAACCAAAACATGGTGGCTTTTCCAATATAGGATTTGGTCATATTGCCTCACACATTTGAGCATTTAAAATGACAAAAAGGGCAAGAATCAAATTACTCTAGTATATTTCAAACGGCAAAGGTCATTTAAAAGGAACATATTAGGGTTCTAAATATTCAAACTTTTTTGTGTCATGTGTGCATGTACCCGTCTACAAATTGAGTGTCAATCAAGCATAGTATTTGTTCGTGAAATTGTTTGGGATCAGACCAACAAAACTAAGGGTCTGTTTGATACACGGAAAATACCCATTCTAAAAGACTTAAATATATTCGAGAATACATGAACGAAGGGTAATCGTTTGGAACAAAACACATTGATGATCACGATTGATTGTTTGTATTAAAAATGCTAAGAAGTGAGAGAATAAAATATGATATTTTGTGACTCAACAAATACCCCCACACTTAGGCTTTTGCACGCCCTCGTGCAAACTAAACATTTGAGAATCATTTTTTTCCCATTTGGTTGACATTAGAGCTCAAAATAATTTCTCAATCTCATAACAATCTAAAGTGATGCATGAAACATTACCTAGAAATTAATCATGTACCAAATAGAGTAAACACTTAAAAAATCAATTTACTACTTTAAATTTTAAAACAATTCTTTCACTTCAAAGTTAAGTAGAAAACATTTTTATTTAATGTCAAAACTTTGAATAAACTAAGGTTATTGAGAACAATTTAAAAGAAATAAATAGAGCAGCAAAAACTGGTTAGAAATCCTTAGAAACAATCAAGTAAAGAAAAGCTCAAGATAATTTATTTTCTTTTCCAAAATTTGGAAACTTTTATTTATTGCTTTCATTTAATATTTAATTTTAATTGTTTGAGTTGACCCGTGTAGCGAGTCTCAACCAGGCTACCCCATGCCCATTCCAGATAGCCCGGGACCTAAATAAACGAAGTATTCTGAGGGTTTTAACTCGAGTGCCATTTATTGCACTTTTTTTGGCTCAATGACGTCGGCTTTTTCTTATTTTTTACACTGGCTATGGACGAGATTCGTACGGCCCAAGACGAGGTTTGCTCTTCCACTTCAGCTTTTCTCCATACACAACATCACTTCCTTTTGAGATTCGTTGCTTAAGGGGACAAAGGTGTCGTGTCACCCATTCCATCCTAAGAAGGTATTCCAGTATATATATTTAGTTTTTTTCCAGCATCTTGATAATTTGTAGATAGCCAAAATTTAGAGTTCCAATTGGATTTGGAAAAGGATTCTCTCTTGCGCCTTCTTCGCATTTGTTCCGCGTCCTCCGCTTCAATCTTGCTCCTATTCTATCTTCTTTTTTTCGGCTCCGCTCTTGCGTATTTTCTACGGAGCTAAGGATGAGTTTTGCTCCTTCATTTATCTATGGACCATGCTAAACTTACACAAAAAATAATACCCCATTTGTACACCACAGTTATACACAAACATTTTGATGGTTTACACCGACACAAGTGTTGGTGCGTTAACAAAAATTTACACAGACACAAAGTATTGGTGCGTTAACAAAAATTAGTTTTACACCAACACAAAACATTGGTGCAAACCTGCGGGGTACAAATTGGGGTATAAATGTTGGGGTACACATAGCTTAATCCTTTATCTATTTAACATGACTTTAATTTTGGGTCAAGTTCTAATATGGGCTTGGCCCAAATTTTTTATTCTTCGGATGCGGAGTCCAACTTTGACATCTTATTAAACTCTTTGTATTCTAAAATATATCTAAAAATTTGTGTCAAGTAAAATAATATTTCCAAAATAATTCTCAATTATCAATGAGCTTAAAATCATGCATTTTTTGTATAAAATGTAAACAGTAGCCTAAAATGCTAAATATAAGAAAATATGTTTATTTTGGTATAAAATGCACATAAATTGTATTAAAAATGCTAAGAAGTGAGGGAATATAATATGATATTTTGTGACTCGATCAACAACAGCCAACGAACGAGGGCAGGGAGCGGAAAGACTTTGGAAGGGGACCAAACCCCACAGGCTATCAGGCGAGTAGACCGCCGGTCCACGCGGTCCAATCTTTATTAGCCCCTCCTCGCAGTCGGGAAAGCTATAGCGTCCAGGACGCCTCCAAGTACTGCGAGTACCACCGTAACAACACCCACAATACGTCGGAGTGCATTACGTTAAAGAAAGAAATGGACCAGTTGATCCCTAGAGGGCCACCACCTCGGGCGGAAAGGCAGGCGCCCAGGAACAGGACGTAGAGGAGACTGGCAGCCACCGCAGCGTTCACCAATGGGGAGGGGCAGGCAAATGGAAGACGACACTTGGGAAAAGATTGTGAAGATTTGGACAAAGATGAGAGGCAGAACCAGTGATATTTGGGATGTCGGTTCATCATGGGTGGCAATACCGAAGGAGACTCGGCATCCTCGCGGAAGAAGTGGAGAAACATTGTTGATATGGAGAAAGTGCAGAGGCCACCACTGCCCAAGCGGAAGAAGAAGGAACCTATAGTCTTCACTGATGAAGACTACCCGCCAGTACTTAGCCCCCACCGGGGTGCGCTGGTGGTGAAGGTGGAAATTAACAACATGGTGGTCCACCGCACGTTGGTCGACACAGGCAACTCGGGCAACATCATGTACAGCAACACCTTCAAGGAGTTGGGTTTGTCTCGAGCGGATCTTAAACCGATTCGTACCCCATTCTCTGGATTTACTGGAGATACGATTGATGCAGAAGAAACAATCACGGTGAAGGCTGGAGTAATAGATGGCACCCACCGACTTTGGCTCGACATGGAATTATGGTAGTGCAACTCGACTATGCACCCCATTTGATCTTAGGGCGACCGGGTCTGGAAGATCTGGAGTGCGTAATCTCCCCCGCTCACGTGTGCATGAAGTTTATTACGCCCACAGGGGTAGGAGTGGCAAGAGGAAACCAGAGTTTGTCAAGATCATGCTACGTCAGGGTGACCAAGAGTTACGCACGGGTCGATGAGAATGTCAGTACGATCTGTGCTGCGGTTAAGAAAGAGGAAGGCCGACTCAGGGCAGAGTCGGGTGAAGAGGTTGAAGAAGTAGCCATGGACCCCGCCAAACCGGAGCAGAAAGTGAAGATTGGCAAGACCTTGCAGCCGGAGCTGAAGGGACAGTTGGTAGGTGTCCTTTAATTGTTTAAAGTGCTATTCGCATGGGGTCCAGGAGAAATGTCTGGTGTCGACCCGCAAATCATTTGTCACAGGTTAGCAGTGGACCCGGCACACAAGAAGAGGTGACCACCCTGCAGTCCATCGGGTATATCCGGGAGGTCCGATATCCGGAATGGTTGTCTAATGTTGTCCTCACACCTAAAGGGAGTACTTGACAGATGTGCGTCGATTACACCGACCTAAACAAAGCCTGCCCAATGGACCTGTTCCCTCTCCCCTACATTGATTAGTTGGTGGATGAGACGGCGGGGTGTGAATTGATGAGTTTATGGATGCGTTCAGCGGATATCATCAGATAAGGATGTCTGCAGCAGATGAGGAGAAGACTTTCTTTATTACACCTAACGGTGTTTGCTGTTACAAGGTGATGCCACTTGGGCTGAAGAACTATAACACCCCAACTCGCGTAACCCAAACCGACGAGTTAGCGAGTCGAGTTACTACTAATTCGGTATTCACATGCATAATATTTTAAAAACATGTAAAATAAAACAACATTCATATTTATTTAAAAATAATTCGTCGTTTAATCGAAGTAAATAATTCAAACATTGCGGAAGTCTTGGAAAACAACATTCAACATTTTACTAATTAGATAAACAAATTCAACAAACTATATTTAATTTAAATAACACAGCTTTGGCCATCCACCAGCGTCACACTTCACTGTCCTCCAGGCTACTCTTCATCCAATCCTTGATCCCTACCTATAAAAATAGGGAGAGTGGAAATATCTAATGCTGGAACTAACTCATAGACTAGCACCCATTAATATATAATCATACAATATCAGAAGAATCAGTAATTACAATTATCAAATGGTATCATCCATTGTTCGTTCGTTCGTTTAATATCCTTGTGTATTGTTATCATACTTAACATATTCGACTAAAGTCTAACTAAACAAATTGTTAGACAATAATACTAATAGTACTTCTTGTAGTATTGGTTATGGTAGTGTTTTATTATTAGTCAGCTTCCTAATCCTATTTGTGGTAGATATTGTATGTTAGTTAGTTTCCATTCTCTATTCCTAGTTGTGTTAGGAGTCTCTCCTATATATACTCTATCATGTACTTCATAATTCAATGAGCAATATTAATATTCCAATATTCCAACATGGTATTGGAGCCACCGTTCGTGGTGACTTAAAATTCTCTGTTCTTGCTCTTAGCGGGCAACGTCGCCATTAGCCGCCCGCCAGCCCATGGATCCAAATTGTTCCGTTATGCAAAAAAACACTCTCTCCAACTTTCTTCCTTCAATTATTACTGTTTGTTTTCCAGTCCCTTGAAGTTCTTCTACCATCATCCAAAGGTTTCAATCGTCCGTCGTCTAGCCACTCTCATGTTCTGCCCTAATCTGGTTCTTTTGGCAATTTCAAGGTTTCAGTTGCGCACCGTCAATCTCCATTAACAATTGGGCCAGCCACATGAAAATCAACACAAAAACAAAGCCAAGAGGGGAAGTAGTGAAAGAGGAAAGAATACCGCTACAACTCACCCTTCAAGAAAGAAATAGGGCATTGCCCGGATCCAAGAAAAAGACAAAAACAATGTCAAGGATCTTCAGTCAAACAGGCACCTTCAGTAGCCTTCTCTATTATCCAACGATGTCAGCAGCCACCGGCGCGCGTCAGACTTCTCTCTTCTACAACGACGTCAGCAGCCACCGGCATGCGTTACACTTCTCTCTTCTCCAATGACGTGAGCAGCCACCGGCGCATGTCAGACTTCTCTCTTTTCAAAGTTTCCAGTTTCCAGCTAGTGTCCAATCTTTCTCTTGCTTCAGCCAGAGTTCAGCTTGAGGGGGGATGTTAGACAATAATACTAATAGTATTTCTTGTAGTATTGGTTATGGTAGTGTTTTATTATTAGTCAGCTTCCTAATCCTATTTGTGGTAGATGTTGTATGTTAGTTAGTTTCCATTCTCTATTCCTAGTTGTGTTAGAAGTCTCTCCTATATATACTCTATCATGTACTTCATAATTCAATGAGCAATATTAATATTCCAATATTCCAACACAAATTAGTCATGGACACTCTTGGAAAGGTGTCCAAGAGGCCAAGCTTGTAAACCCAATGGAAGGTGTCCAATTGGGCGGGTTGGAGCCCCTACCACGGAGGTGTCGAGGCAGGCCCTGGAGTCCCGTACGTACGCTTTAACCCTGGAGACCATCAAGTGTACGTTGACACCTGCATGACCTTAGTTTCAAATCCTAATCCTATTCAAAATTCCATTATCCAATTCAACTTAGATTCACCTATTCCACAACTCCAGCACAACACACAAATATCGTTCATAAGTTCAAGAATTGAATTGCAAAAGATGACTTAACGTTGTGCAGTTTTATTAGGTTGGTAAACTAGGATTAATTCATAGTCATAATTGAGTGTTAAGGTCATGGGTTGATTTGCAAATAACTTCAAGTCATGTGGCCAATTTGTAAATAACAAAACTACTTATAAATTCATTCTTAGCCCCCAAGTAAAAGAACCCATATGCCCTGTTCTCTTCCTCAAGTCGCAGCAGAACTGTAGAAACCAGGAGTAGAAGGGACCGAGTACAGAGCAGAAGAACAGAGAAACGGAGAAGTACATGAAGACAATTCAAAACCCAAAACCCAATTTCTCAATCTCAATTAAACCCAACACAATTAATCACACACACAATTCAATAATCATGATCATGAATTCAACATCAATTGAACGAGAATATATTAACGGATCCTAATCTACGAACTAATTCTAACGAGAGATAAATCACTCACCTCAAGAATTTGGTGATGAATCACGAAGCGGCGAATGGATTCCGGCGTAGCTTTCCGGCGAATTTTCTTCCCGGGCGAACTCCGTCGTTTCTCCCTGGATGCCTGGTTCGGCGGAAGGAGCTAAGAGGATGATGAATTTTACGGAGCAGGTTCAACGTTTTTTTATTTCAAGTCAGGGGCAAATCCCCTTAATTATATACTACGGCCCTTATTTTTTCTTATTTTTTCTTATTCTTTTTAAAATTAGATTAGATCAGACCAGATCAGATCAGATCAGATTGAATCAGATCAGATCAGATCAGATCGAATCAGATCAGATCAGATCAGGTCAGATCCAATCAGATCAGATCAGAAACTTATTAAAATCAAATCCTATCAAAAAATATTATTATTATTATCATCATCATCATCATCATCATCATCATCATTATTGTTCTTAAAAATGAAAAAGAATAAACTTTAGAAATAGGTTAAATAGAAAACTGAGAAAGTAATCCTTAATTATTAGACGTTGGAAAAATTAGTTTAAAATACATTGACAATGTCAATCTAATTCTACTTTTAAAATATATTTTTATTGCTACTTGTAATTTGAGTTTCTAAACTTTTGATCTTTTATAAGGATGAGATATGTTAATAAAAATACTATCTCTTCTATATATTGATTATCTAAATTTAATTACTTTTTAATGTATATCTAAATTAAATATTTATTCTAATGTATAATTCTAATTTTACAAAAAATAATCATAAAATAAAAATATTATTACATTATAATATGAATGATTATTCTAATATATGAATTAACTATTTTTATTTTATTAAAAAATAATCATTAAATAAAAAATATTGATTATATTATAATATGAATTATCATTACAATTTTCAAACGTTATTATAAAATCAAATTAAATTATTGATTTGAAATTTTAAATTAAATCATAATTAATAAGATCAGATCAGATCAGATCCAATCAGATCAGATTAGATCAGATCCAATGAGATCAGATCAGATCCAATCAGATCAGATCAGATCAGATCTAATCAGATCAGATATATTCAGATCAGACCAGATCAGATCAGAACTTATTAGAATCAGATCAGATCAAAAAAAATAAGTTGAACGGAACGGAGCCTACGTAGTATATAGTAGCATTTGTTTAGATTTAGCAATCCAATTAGATTTAGGAATTAGGAGTAACAATTCCATACGTATTTCTTATTATTATTTATTAATATTATATTATAAAATTCTTTATATTTATTTATTGAACTGTAATGTCTATTTTACTCACCACGCTTTATACGTAAGTCCAAATTTAACAAACTATATATCGTTGGTCACCATTTTATGAGATCTACCTAAAAATCTAATTTTTAATTAAAATGGTCAATTTTACAAATAATTACTCCCTCCGTCCCACTATATTTGTCCACTTTCATTTTTGCACATCATCCAATGCACTTTTTTAATCCATTTTATCTTGTAATTTGTATATTAAAAAATTATAGAAATTATATATTAATAATCTATATGTTAAGACAAATCAAACAAGATCACACATAACTATATTTAAGCTTACACATTGAGAGAATTTGATGAGTCAAAGTGCTTAGATGAACAGTTCCAAAAGTCAAATATTTTAGTAATATTTTAGATGAACAGTTCCAAAAGTCAAATATTTTAGATGAACGAATATAGCGGGATGGAGGTAGTAATATTTTAGAGTCAATGAATACTATATTTATTTTTATTAAAATAACGGCTAACTACTAAGCCAGTTTTCAGGGCATTACAAGAATGCTGAAGCGACTTACGCACGGATGGTCAACAAGATGTTCGCACCAGTGTTAGGAAGGTGCATGGAGGCATATGTGGCGACATGATCGTCAAGTCAAAGCAAATGCCATCTCACGCCCAGGACTTGGAAAGTGTGTTCAAAATCATGCAAAAGTACCAGCTCCGTCTCAACCCAAAGAAGTGCACTTTCGGGGTTCAAGGAGGCAAGTTCCTGGGGCACATGGTCAGGCGGAGGGGCATCGGACCCAATCCAGAAAATGTAAAGGCGATTTTGGATATGGAACCCCCGCGGAATGTGAAGGAGGCTCAGCATCTGACAAAAAGGATCATTGCTCTCAGCCGATTTTTGTCAAAGATAGCTGATCTAGCGGCGTCGTTCTTCCAAACCATCAAGAAGAGTAACACTACATTTGGTTCAAGGAATCTGGAAGGAAAAGAAAAAAATGATTTTCTCTCTTTTTTCCTCATCAAAATGAGAGAAGTTTGGTTTTTCCTCCTCTTAGTACATGTTGCCTTCTCGTTTTCTTTTCCTTTCACTTTCCCTTTCTTTTCCTTTCTAACCAAACGAGAAAAAGTATTTTCCACTTCATTTTCTTTTCTTTTCCCATTCAAATTCCTTGAACCAAACATAGCGTAAGGGGTTCATCTGGACTGAAGAGTGTCAGCGGTCCATCGAAGGGTTGAAGGCGTATCTCCTCTCACCACTGGTGCTTTTGAAGCCGGAGCATGGGGAGACTTTGTACCTATATTTGGGAATCTCTCCTCAGGCTGTGAGCTCAGTGCTGGTGAGAGAAGAGGAGGGCACGCAGAGACCTGTGTACTATGTGGCCCAAAGCCCAATCGGAGCCCTCACCCGGAGTCCCAACGCCCCGTCGCAAGTAAGTAAATGGAGGGTATTTCTGGGGTCATTCCAGATAGAGTTCAAACCGCGACCAGCGATCAAAGGGCATGCTTTGGCAGACTTTGTGGTGGAGTGCACTGCGAGGGAGAAAGAAGCAGGTAAAGAAGAGCAAGACGAGAGTTGGTGGACCATCTACACTGATGGATCGTCCGTGACTGATGCTTCGGGGGGGGGGGGGTGGAGTCATGTCAATATCACCGAAAGGATTAAAGGAGTACTATTCAATAAGGTTCCGGTTTAAAGTCTCAAACAATGAGGCTGAGTATGAGACACTTCTGTGCGGATTAAAGCTAGCGGCTTCCCTAAAGGCTGATCACATCTAGGTTAGGTGCGACTCAAAGTTGGTGATCGGCCACATCACAGGAGAATTTGAAGCGAAAGATGAACGAAGGAAGAAATAAGGGACGCCGTACTAGAGCTACTCAAGGCATTCGGAGCATACCGGATGTAGCAGGTCCCCGGGAGGAAAACGCTGAGGCAGACATCCTCTCAAAACCTGGCCCAGATTCCCTGGAACATATTAAGGCAATGACGCAAGAAAAGGAATTATTTGTACCAAGCATCAGCCCCGGACAACTCTTAGTCATCACAGCCAAGGAGCCAGATTGGATTGATGAGTTGACCATCTATATCCTTGAGGGGTTAGTACCAACGGACCCCGTCACGGCTAGGGTCGTTAAGCGATGTGCACCTAGCTGCACGCTGGATTGCGGAAGGCTGTACAAGTGATCATACAATGGTACCTTGCTAAGATGTCTAAGGAGCGAAGAAGCGCAGAAGCTAATGGAGGAAATTCATGAAGGGATATGCTCAGCGCATCAAGCAGCCTTTACAATGTTAAGGAAGATAATGCTGCAAGGGTATTTCTGGACAACAATCATAAAAGACTGTGCGCAGTATGTGCGCAAATGCAAAGTTTGCCAGGAGTTCCAAAAGGTGCCAGAGCGACCAGCGACAAATTACACCCCAATCAGCATAGCAATACCATTCGCCTGATGGGGAATCAATCTGGTCAGCATTTTATCAAGAGGATCAAGGAACAATATGTATCTGGTAGTTGTGATTGACTACTTCACCAAATGGGTAGAGGCCGCCCTAGTGCCAACCATCACTGAAGAACAGATGAGGAAGTTTGTGTCAAAATAGATCTTGTGCCGCTTTGAGGTTCCCCAACAATTCATCACCCACAGCGGAACCTAGTTTGAAGCTAAGGGGTTCAACGAATTCCTTCAAAGTTGGGGAATAAAGCACAGCTATGCCGCAGTCGATACCCCCAAACCAATGGTCAGGTCGAGAATACCAAGGAAGGCCACGGGAGAGACACCGTACATTTTGTGGACTTATAAAACCACCCCAAGGAAGGCTACATGAGAGACACTATTCTCCTTAACATATGGATTTGAGGCAAGGGCTCCGGCTGAAACTTTGTTGTTAAGTTATAGGATGGAAACATTCGATGCGTAAGAGAATGAGGAAAACTTAGAGGCCAAATTGCACTTGATAGATGAGCGAAGAGAAAGGGCTTACATTCAGGCTGAAAATTATCGTCGTCAAGTCAAGTCATACCACGACCAGAGGGTGCGACTAAGGATATTTAGGAAGGGCGATTGGGTTCTGAGGAAGAGAGGTCGGCCAACCGACCGATGGTGGGAAGTTTGCAAAAAACTGTGAAGGGTCTTGTATCATAAAGGAGGTGTTGGCCGATGGAACATACAGGTTGCAGACCCCAACGGGAGGGGATGTCCCGCGGGTGTGGAATAATGCTAATCTTATTAGATTTTATCAATGAGTTACCTTCTTATGTTCTGTCCTTGAATTCAATAAAATCAGCATTTCGCAACTTATCAATTTTGTTCTGCAAAAAAGTAGAGAGAGAGAGAGAGACCAAAGAGAGTCGTTACATGAGGCCATACGGTGATTTGTACTAAGTTACCTTCAAAGGAGCGAAGTACTGAACCCATTGGTTCCCACTGGTCGCCTGAACGACCGCTAGTTGCGCGATCAACCATACGGTGATTCGTACTAAGTTACCTTCAAAGGAGTGAAGTATTGAACCCACTGGTCGCCTGGAAGACCGAAAGTTAGCACGATCAAAGAACATAAAAAACAAGACAACCCCAGGGCGAAAAAGCCATCGAAAAGGCTAAGTCAAAAGAAGCATATGGTTCCCTCAACTAAAGGATGACACGACCCAAATGTTGAGGACTACGCTCAAGTGACACCAAGCTAAGTTCGTGAAATACAGCAGGACTTGTCAAAATTTGATTAGACAGGTAACGCCAAAATACACTTATGGAAACATCCATTACACATCAAAAGCCACTTCATACATTCGCATATATTCATTACATTAAAGACATCCACTTACATTCCTGAGGAAAATTCTTTACACCAAAGCATATTTTGCGACTATTACTACCGAGAAGAAAGAAATACACAAGGAAAAGACAAGGTGAAGGGTAGTTCTATGGCCAACGGCTGCGCGGAATCCCAACCAATACCACTAGTGACAAACACCCACCTTTCTTCTCCAACATGGAGAAGGAATGTGTGTCCACCACCAGTGATGAAAACCCACCATCCTTCTCCCGTGTAGAAGGAAGGCAGGGGTTGCTCGCTCTATGAGTCCTAATCAGCACCATCCCGCGATGAGGATGCAGACCATGGAGTAGCAATAGCTACTCCAGGTTGCTAAGGGGCCTCCCGAGGAGACGAAGGGCCAGCCAAAAGCCAATGGGAGGAACCCTGTTCTTCCCCCGCAACAGCAGCTTGAACTGGCTCCGGCGAGTTAGTGCGACTTTCATTAGTCCACTGCTCCAGACTCGTGTAGTATGCTACTTCGTGCTCCAAAAGGGGCAAGTCCTCATCCTCCACGCTCTTCCAAGCCGCATAATACCTCTCATGGATGGGGCAAGGAGCATCCCAATATTCCTCCCCGGAAGGAAGGTGGTTGGCCAAAAGTGCCCAGGTTGCCGCGCTAAAGTCATCATAAGGGTTTGGTGGAGTTGGCGGCAGATTCACCGTAGGCCATCGGCGGCGAGTGAGACGATGGCAGAATTCGTAGGGGTCTAGCCCTCCCTAGTCGTTGGAGTTAACAAACTTGGGGGAGGAGGCACACTCTGGCGAAGAAGGAGAAGGACCACCGGAAAGATTCAAGGGAAGTGGGAGTTTCTCTGGACATGGCAAAAGATAGTCACAAAGTATAAGAAAAGGGATTATGTTGGAGAAAGTGAATGGAGCAGGGGGGACTTATAAAAGGTTCAAGGCGGAGAGATCGAAGGGATGGTCAAGTCCCAAGGTAGCTGAACTGATAAAGCTACATCGAACAGCGAGACGACCCAATCAACTGCCCAAAGTGATGTGATTGGCCAGTTGGGCGGTGCGTTCAACAAATCGTTGAGCTGAGCTTGTCGTAAAAGTGGGCTAGAAAAGGATGTTGGCCCAGGTTGAGGCATGTTCCCAGTTCAAAGCAGACCACAACGAAAAAAAATAACATAATAGCGATGTTCGAAACAGATTAAAGCTACAGTAGCAGTCAAGAATTGAGAAAACACAATGTAAAAATACTTAAGAGTTTTTAGAAGGAATCATGAAACAAAATTACAAGTTAAAACGAAGGAGGAGTCCAACCACGCGTTGAAGCTGACACCCTTGCTCTCTTTGGTCGCCGCAAAGGTGATCCTCCCTTCTGGGCCACCCTGCTCGCCTTGGTCGCCATGGGTGGTCCTCTCATCCTCTCCCTTAGAATCGTCAAGATCCTCTTCTTCCATTAATAGTCGTGGTTTTTTTGGGTAGTAAACCTTCCCAATAAAGGGTTAGTTTTCTCTCCGAGTGTCGTGTCTCTTGAGGAGTGGACGAAAGGAATTAGTTTAATTACTCTAATTAGGCGAAGGTTAGAGTTAGTTTATCAAAGTCTTTTCGGAACGAATTGAATATAAGGGGAGCAGAATAATAATAATAAATAAATTTAACATAGTATAAGTGTAGATCTGGACCTAGGGTCAAGACATCATTTGGATCTAATTTATCATAATTAATTAACAACTAGAATAATAATATTCTTATTATTACTTACCTATTTCTAGGTTTGTACTTAATCTGTTGCTCTTGAATATCACCATCTTCCGACATGTAATATTTTCTCAATAAATAGCTAATTAAATCTTTCGACATTAATTAACTAAATAAGGCAATAACAATAGACTAACCATTCCGATATAAATTTAACGTTCAAAGTATACAACCAAACTAGTCCAGACCTAGAGATCCGGACCCTAACTCATACTATGCAAACATAAATTAAAACAACGTTTTATTAAATAAAGGGAACTTACAAATTCCGTAAAAGCGGAATAGAACAGATCTAGAGCAGAAATTCTGCGTAAAATACTTTATAACTATTTCTACACTAATCTAGACTGAAAAATTGGAATAGTAGGCTCAAATCCCAAAATTGGGAATAAAAGTGATGGGTGGAATGAGGTGAATCGCGTTGTATTTATGGGATAGAATCTGAAGCGTCCATGTCCAGGCGTCTAGATCTGGACGCTTGAGCTGTTCTGGCCAACTAGGTTCTGCCACGTGTCATTCTTGGAGCGCAATTTACGCCAGGCGTCCAAGTCAAAGCGTTCAACTTGGCCAAGCGTCCAAATTGGACGCCTCAGGCCTTGGTCTGTTGGGCTCCACGGCTGGTACGAGATTTCGGCCCGATTTCGCTCCTTTTCAGCCCGACAACCAATTTTGACCTCCCGGAAGCTCGTTCAAGCCTGAATCTTGTTCCTTACATATTTTATTCCCCTTTTCTCAAGCATTTGATCATAAAACAGATTATTTCTGATGATTTCATGTGGAATCCCCTTTTATGACTATTAGAAGAAAAAGTGGGAATTTTTCTCCTTGAAAACCCAATTTATGATATGATTAAGTACGGTTTACGTGTAATAACTTTTAGAATATGATATAAATGATAAGAACGAAACGTACTTATCAAATTCTTCACACTTAAACGTTGCTTGCTCTCAAGCAACATATTGAATAATTACAAGTACGGAGGGAAATTTGTAATTACAGAGGAAAAGTTTAAACTACATATTATGAGGGAAAGAATAAATAAAATAGTCATCAATTTTTGTTTAAGAGGAATGAACCCCTAAAATCTCACCCATATGGTTCGAAGTTTAAAACTTTTTGTCAAACTAATATTTCTATACCAACCTAAACAACCGAAACTTTTCCAAAATTTTCTTGGGATAATTACATTTACAAGAGTAACCTAAGATCAAAACCTTTTTATAGCTAGAATTGAAAACATGTTTTAGCAAAAGTACTTGTCAAAGTGTATGAGTTTTAATAACCTTGTTATGTTGACACGAGAAAAACTCCTAACCTCATCCCGTGACATAGAACCACGAGCTTTTTGGATAGCCACATTCACTCTGAAAAGTCTCATCATACAACATAGAACCTCATGCTTTTTTACTCGAACACTCAAAAGGCCTCATCATGCAATATAGAACCGTGTGCTTTTTGGCTTACTCACCAAGCCTCATCAATTGACATAGAACCAATTGCTTTTTGGCTAAAACAAGAATCTCGGTCTCACTAAAGTATGCCTTGAGATATAATCCCCAAAACTTTGAAAAAAATTCTTTTTCCAAAACAAGGTTTCCAAATAAAGCTACTAAAAATTTATTAATCTTAAAAACTCTTACTAAAATGTAATTTTATCCCAAATAGTTA